TGGAACTACTCCGACAATAACAACAGCAAAGAAATTCCAAAAGCATGGTGATGATGACGATGATGAAAATGATTATTTAAAAAAAACAACATCTAAAACAACAAAACCTTTTGATTCAGATGATGATGATGATAAGAAGTATAATAAAACCAATCAAAGTTCATCAGATCGTTTTAATCTTAATAATGATTATCGTCGAATAACATCAAAACCACCACCATCTCCATTAATAACAACAAAAAAAACAAAAGATGATGAAGATGATTTTCCATCAACATCATTATCGAAGCCTTTAAATCGTTCAAGATTTAACTATGATAATCATCTATCAACATTATCGAAGACAACAACTCGTTCGACAACTGATGATGATAATGTTCGACCTTCATCCACATTGAAATCAAATATACATTCGAAATATAATGATGATGATGATGATTATGATAATAATTTTAATCAAAAACAAAAACATAAAGTAAAAAAAGCATTCTAATAATAAAATGAATATTTCATTTTGGAAATTTTAGTCAACATTTCCATCAAAAACTCGGTTTGAAGATGATGACGATGATAAAAAATATCCATCATCTTTATCAACAAATAAACCATTATCAACTTCCAAAAAATCAACATCAGGTATTTATGGTGCTGATGATGATGATGATGATGATAAAATAAATAATAAAAATAATCGTCGTCCATTTGGAACTACTCCGACAATAACAACAGCAAAGAAATTTCAAAAGCATGATGATGATGATGATGAAAATGATTATTTAAAAAAAACAACATCTAAAACAACAAAACCTTTTGATTCAGATGATGATGATGATATGAAGAATAATAAAACCCATCAAAGTTTATCAGATCGTTTTAATCTTAATAATGATCATCGTCGAATAACATCAAAACCACCACCATCTCCATTAATAACAACAAAAGGAACAAAGGATGATGATGATTTTCCATCATCAACATCAAAATATGGAATTCGTTCGAAATATGATAATGATTACCCGACATCATCATTATCAAAACCAACAACACACGCCAAAAAGGATGATGATGATGATGACGATGATTATAAATCTAAATCGAAACCCAAAGTACCTTCAAAATACAATGATGATGATGATGATGATCTTCCGTCTTCGTCATTGAAATATGGAACTCGTTCGAAATATGACACTAATTATTCAACGTCACCATTATCAAAACCAACAACGCATTCAAAACGTAGTGATGATGATCGATCACCTTCACCTTTGAAATCAACTTCACTTGCGAAAAAAATTGATGATAAAGTTCCATTTCCATCATCAAAACTAACTGGACGATCAAAATATGAAGATGATGATGATGATGATCGTCCATCGTATCATTCAAAAGCAACAACTCGTTCCAAATATGACAACGATGATCGATCTACTTCTCCTGTAACATCAAAACCTCGGTCTAAATTTGAAGATGATGAATATCCATCATCGTCATCTAAAGTTGTATCACATTCAAAATATGATGATGATGATGATCGTCCAACAAATTCACCGAAATTAACATCTCGTTCGAAAGGTTCCGATGATGATTTTAGTGGTAGAGGTGTACGATCTCGTTTTGGACATGATGATTTCGATTCATCAAAAGGTGGATTCAATAATGCTCGAGCAGGTTCAGCTTCAGCTCATCGATTTCGACCAAATACAAATTTTGACACTTGAAAGAAGCCTTTTCTCTTTTTCTTTTATTTCTCACAAGATTTGTGATACAGGTTTGTTTTCTTTTTTGAATTTCTACTTTTTGTTTAGTTTTTCTTTTGTCTAACAAATTCTAAAAATTTATTTAAAACAGCTTGTTTTTTTATTTTTTCTTTTTGTTTTCAAATAAAAGAAAATTAACGACAAATTATTGATAGCTCTTTATTGAAAATAGACTTACTTAAATCAATAATTATGTGATCTTATATACAAATAATTTTCTGCTAAATTTTAAAATATTTTTAGTTTGTTTTTTGTTAAGTAAATATTAATTTTACTCGCTAAAAAAATGATGCATATATTTTATCAAAATAAGAGTTCGTTTTTAAAATATATAACTTAAAAATTATTTATGTAGATTTTAGTTCATTATTCAATATAAAACTACGTATTATAAAGTCAAAGTAAATTAAGTTATATGAAAAATTAAGTTTTCAAAAAGTACAAAAAAGAAAATATATAAAAAAATCAACTATTAATATCCTAAACAACATAAAAATTTTAAAAAAAACGTGTAATTGTCATGTATACATCAAGTTGAATTTTTATTGCTAATCATCGAGTTTATCCTAACATAACGAAATCATTAGAAAATGGCGTTCATGTAATAAAGTAGCAACGATATAAGGTGTCCAGTAAGTCATGAAATAGACACACTAAAAATTGAATATCTCCATTATGGCTCGATCAAACGGGCTCATTTTTTTTACCAAGGATAGAGGTATGTTCACACTCTAAATTCATACGGACAAGATCAGTGAGAATCTTTGTTAAATATCACTATTGACCTCAACAAGAAAATTTTACTTATTCACAGATAGGAAAAAAAGCAAATATAAGATAGTGCAAAAGTCACTTAATCAGAAAAGAAAATTGAATATCTCCATTACGACTCGAGCAAACGAGTTGATTTTCTTACCAAAGATGGAGACATATTCACACTCCAAATCCGTATGTACGAGATTAGTGAGAACCTATGATGACCATATTGTTTTCTTTTCCTATCTGTGAACAAGTAGAATTTTCTTGTTGAGGTCAATAATGATATTTAACAAAGGTTCTCACTGATCTTGTCCGTATGAATTTAGAGTGTGAACATACCTCTATCCTTGGTTAAAAAAATGAGCCTGTTTGGCCGAGCTATAATGGAGATATTCAATTTTTAGTGTGTCTATTTCATGACTTACTGGACACCCTATATGTTAAGTCATCTCTTGTATTTGTCTAGTACTTTACCTAATGCACGCTTATACCTAGATATATCTATATGCATATGTCTATTCAGTCAGTCTAGAGCCAAGTGAATCAAGTCTCGATGAACGTTACTTGTTGTTACTTGACAGATATAACTAAACAATTATGAAATAATCAATCTAATTTTACTTCTAATTAAATCAACGGCGCCCAGCTATGACCTGAAGGAACCGATATTGTGGTATGTCACGATTTTTTTGCAAAGGAAAAACTTTCTTCTTTCTAACAAAACACGAGAAAAATATTTGGTTTCACTGGAACTAAACGAAAATTTTCTACGATTGGCAGATGTTACACTTCTGACATCTTCGGTCGGACCACGCTGAAGGCGACTGTAAGGTTTTGATTCAGAAATGAGAACACTTCCTTTATCAAATATTGCATATATTATCAATTTCTATTACCTAGCTATTTTCGATTAGATTTTGGCTTATGAGTAGACATCTGCGTGACTGATCACGCAAATGTCTACTTATGAGAGAACCTTCCCAGGTGTCAAATTCGCTTTTCAATCGAGACGATATTCATTTGATGAGTACTAAAGAGTAATAGAAAAGTCTAAAATGGTTTGGTTTTTTTGGGCCTTCATTCTTGAGATATTGAAATTTTATTGGATTTTTCAACAAAAAGCTATTTTTTTTCCCCCTCAGATCACATGGAAAATTGACTTTCAAGATTCGACTTCGAACTTTACAAGAATAAAGTTCTCAATAAGACTAGTTCATAGTGCAACTTTTAGCTCTTCTAGTATGATGTAAATATATGAACAAAATTTGCTTTTACATATAAGAGAATTTCGAATATTCAATATTGCAGGATCTTAATAAACTAATCTCATTAAGAACTCCATTCATGCAAAGTTTGAAGTCGAAACTCGGAAGTCGATTTTCTACATGACCTGAGAGAGAAAAACAACTTTTTGTTGAAAAACTCAGCAAAAATTTCGATATCTGAAGAACGAAGACTCGGTAAAGCAAATCATTCTAGATTTCTCTATCATTTACGAGTATTCATCAAATGAACATCGTCCCGGTCGAAAAACAATTTGACACCAAGAGAGATTCTCTCGTTAGTTCTACACGATTTTGATTTGAGTTCAGAAGAACTCACCTTAAAAAAATATCAAACTTCTAAATATATATTTTTTTCTCATGATATGCAATAGAATCAGATAATACATATGCATCATTGAATAGAGGAAGTCTTTCTCTTCAAATCTACATGTGTCCTGTTTTCTCAATTCATATATAACCGTGAAAATTATAATCACCTTTATACAAAAAGTATATCTAATTATTAGGTATTGTTCTAGAAGAGTTTATGTCGTCTTATTTTGACGAATTAATCAAAAAATGACATTTTCATAGATGTTCTTTTTTTCCTCATTTATTCTTCGGACATCTTATTCAACTAATTTGTGATTATCATATATTCATCTCGAATTGATAAAAGAGAAAAAAAAATATTCAAGTTAATATTTGATTGAAGTTTTATTCTATTCAACTAATCTGATTTATATGTTAATTTATTGCCAAAAAAAAACGTAATTAAGATACACATGAAAAATAAAAAGAAAAACGAACGTAGAGAGATCCTATGATTTGAAGTTAATTTTATATTTTCAGACGTCTATCCATAACGTTCATCATGATTATGACTATCTGAATAATGATGATTTTGATACTTTGAATGTAATTTGCCTGATTTTGGATGATAACGCCGAGCATCAGCCATTCCATGAAATGCACAGACAAATATCATAATAGCAAATAGCAAATTGACAAGATAATATTGCATATGTATCATCATTTTCTAATAATTATTTTAGATAAATCAACGAATTTGAAATCGGAGGAAATGAAAAGCGCTCGAATTTAATAGATAAAATTAAAAGAATGTATTAGAAAAGCGCTCTAATTTACTCAGCTACAAAAAAGATTATATTTAACTTATCATATTAATTAGTTTTAAATGCAAAAAGATTGTTAAAAACATATTTTATTCTACTGTATTCGTAGATGAATTTATATAAAATTCTAATTAATTTTTTTTTTCGATTATCTTAATATTATTTTTATTCTAGTTTCAACTAAAAAGTACCAATAAAATCTATATAATCTTTTCTTTCGTTAATCTCAATGTTAATATTAACCTTTTCTTGTTATTTGAGTACTAATAGAAAAATATTTACGATTATATTACTATTTAGATTCTAACAGCATACACATTTATATGTAATCTAACTTTAAATTTGAATTCGTTGTTTTTTCATTGAGAGAGTTAACTAATATTTATTGGACTTTCATTGCATGGTTATGTTTTATTTGATAATAATTTATGTCAGTTATACCTGGATTTCACTAGATAAACAATATATTAACTATAATATTATGTAAATTGCTTCAGAGCCCCCGTACATTTTTGTTTTCAATGTCGAGATTTTCCATTAGCTCGAAAGAGATATTGTAGTGTTCTCTTTCAATCGTTACAAAAATGAAACGTTTTGATTGTTGTTGCAATAGTTTGATAACTATACGTGAAAAAAAATCAAAGTTTTGAAATACTAAAAAAATTTCCGACTTTTCTTCATTAGACTTTGACCGATTGAGCTAAGACTTTATAACAATTTCGGTTTAATTAGGATGTAGATTTTCTTTTTTATTTGATAAAATATTGTATCAGTAAACATTGGTAGATTTGATAAAACTTTTATCAATCGAAAAGTATCCAAAAATTAAGCTTTTGTTTTCTAGATACTCACAATATTTTTTTCAACGAAAACAGATAAATTTTGGAGGAATGATGAAGGAAAATTTCAAGTCATTTTTTGGTCTTTGTATCCCCATATATCTCATGCAAAGAAATATTCAGAAATTTCAAGCCTAAAACAACTTTTGCTCTACTTGCCGAGATCTGTTCGTGAGAAACTTTGGAAACGAGAAAGAGAGGCACTCTAAACTATTTCATTAATATTAGAAAAGCTGTTTTTAGTTTAAGAAAAAAAAGCAGAGCATCATCTGACTTCATTAAATTATTTATAATAAATTTCTTATTCTTTTTCTTTTAAATTTTTAGAACAACGCCACCATTCCTCGAGTGCATCAGAAATGTGGCGAGCACAAATAAAGCGGAATTGCAAGGTTTTTTTTTCTTCATACACAAGGGTGGTTTTTGTTAGAAAAAAAATGAAAATTTTCTCTAAATGAAGATGCACATCTTCAGCTCCCATCGTCACATTCTTGGATCGCATTTAATGCTCATTTCTAAATTATAAATTTTTATTCCATTGGCAACGGTTCGTATGAATGAGCACAATTATGTACATATTATTCTCATTGAATTTCTTTCTCGTTTTTTTTTCTTGCAGAAAACCAAAAATACATTTGACAATTAAAATAAAACAAACAGAAAAAAAAACAAACAGAAAGAAAAACAAACAGAAAAAAACAAACATATACAATCATCGGAAAAATAGATCATGATAGAAAATAAAAATATAAAATAAAATTCTCGTCTTTTTGTTTTGGATTGCATTTTATATTTAAATGAAATTCGTTTTACGTAAAAGGAGATAACAGTTGACTAAGTAATTCATTTTTTGATAGAGCATGAACAAAATTTTCTTTTGTTATAAGTCCTTGTTCATTACAATGACATGCACTTATAAAATGTTTGAGCAATTCAATCGATTCAAATTCATTACCATTACC